CAGAGGTATGGGGGTGGGAAAAGGGCACAGGCCGCATAAACCTTCCCAAATGCGAACTGCGAGGGCCATCAAGCACCCCCGACCTAAGGGGGGGCGTGAAACTGGAGAGGCCTGGTGTAATTCTCACCAAGGAATGGGAGGGATGCGGGGGCATCCATGGGAACGGGGGTAGGTTCGAGCTTCCCCGGGTCACTGGCTAAAGTGACCCTGCTCAGTTCGGTCTCGAAGGGGGGAGATGTGACGAACTGGGCCTGTTCTTACTGTGGTCTGTGAATGCTGACAGGGGAGTGTGGCTGGGATAGTCTGCATTGCGGGATGGGAGTCTGCCCGAAGGCGAATACCTGAGTGTGTAACATGAGAACCCAGGAAGGGGTTAGAGGCCAGGTGACACCTTGGCCCGGGAAACTGAACAAAGGCTGTGGGAGGGGTCGCTGAAGGCAGAGTGCTGGAAGCGGGCTGGAGAGATGGCTGGAAGGCAGAGATGGCTCTGACCCCCCAAGGGGGTGGGCTGGAATGCCCTGGGACCCCAAGCTGGACTTAACTGAGGGGGTCCTGTTGTCTGTGCCTGCAAGACCTGTCTTGGACTGTATTCCTGTCATCCAAATAAACCTTCTGCTTTACTGGCTGGCTGAGAGTCATGGTGAATCGCAGGAAGCCGGGGGTGCAGGGCCCTGAGTTCCCCAATACTCCGTGACACCGGGTCCCGCCAATCTGGAGTCACCCCTGATTGCAGAGGGGTCAGGGCTGGGTTCTGAGCTCAGCCCCCCGGGATCAATCCAGAGTCATCCCCAGCTGTAATGGGGGCAGAGCAGGATTCTGATCTCAGCCCCCAGGGTCAATCCAGAGTCACCCCTGGTTGCAGAGGGGTCCTCAGCCTCAGAGGCTGGGAGCAAGAAGGGCAGGCGGGGGGGAAAGCTGAACGTGCCGCCTGTGTGTCTGGCTGTGCGAACGCCTGTCTGGCTGTGCAGGGCTGTAGACAGAGTCAGTCGCGGTGGGAGGGGCCCGTGGAAAAATAAACTTCCTTTGATGCTCACGTCTTAGCGGAGAAGAAACATTTCAGCCATCCCAAGCCCAGCAGCAGAAGGAACCCAGGAGTCCTGGCTCCGAGCCCTCCCCCGTCCCCGCTCTAATCACTGGACACCCGGATGCCCCTCACCCACACCACAGACATGGGGGGGGATTACAACCCCCGCCTCGTACCTCACGCAGCTCGTCTTCATTTCCTGTCCCCAGCCCCGTACAGATGGGGAAACTAAGGCAGAACAAGGCCTTGGACACGGGTCTTCGTCCCCCTGAGAACCTAGAGCAGCAGTCGCCCACCGGCCTGTTAATTAGCCCTCGTTAGGGTGAGCTAAGTCCCCTCTCGTCAGGTGTCAGGATAATACCTGCAGCTGTCCCAAATCCGACTAGCCGCCGCCATGCCGCCGAGAAGCTCCTTGGTGGCGGGACGCTCCCTTGTCAGTGGGCGGGCGCATAGAGATGCCCCCCGGGGGTCGTGGCGCCCGCGGGCACCGCGTTGGGGACCCCTGTGTTAGTCGGTGAGGTGCCACCGGACTCCCCGTTGTTTCGTGGACAGAGACTAACCCGGCTCCCCGGATACTTGACGTTCATGAGGGTAACGAGCCAGGAGCCGAACCCAGGGATGGAGGTGAAGCTAATAAAACACGAGATGTATTTATACCCGGGACCCAGACGCCGGCCGAGACCGGGGCCCCGTCCCCCCTCGGCCAAGATCAGGGCCCCGTTGCGCTGGGCGCCCCCCAGACCCCTGCCGAGATCGGGGCCCCATCGCGCCGGGTGCCCCGCAGACCCCAACCCAGGTCACGGCCCCGTCCCGCCGGGCACCGCCCAGATCCCGCCCTAGATTCTGGTGCACAAACGCCCATATTGGGCCCTTTTATCCACCTATCTACCCACTTTAATGAGATCTCCGCCAAAATCAGCCGACCGCAAGACTTTTCACTCCCCGCTCGGCTCATTATTAGCTCTGTTTCCTGCCTCTTTTGGAAACCACTTTTTCTACCCGAGTTTCAGAGAAAACACCCCGACGACGTGATTTCACCTTCTCTCCGCAGCCCTCGGTCTGGTTCTTTAGAAATAATATGTGACGGCGCTGCCCCATTTCCCCCACAGCTTGTTTTTCACTACGCCGAACTCGCCCGCTGGCAGCTGAGGGGTGGGGGGGGGTTCACCTGAACTGCCTTTCTCCTCGCCCGGCGTTGGGCTTTAATCCCCCAGCTGGTCTCTGCCCTCCTAGAACCACCGGCAGATCTGCCCCGACAGCCTGCATGGGGCCGCTCGTGGCAGCATGTACACTAGTGAAAAGCAGGCGTGAAAGCCCGTCATCGAGACCGCGTCATGAATTCTGGTTTGGGAGCATTGCACACTTGCCTTGCACTAGTACGAAGACACACAGTGCAACAGGGTGAATGCTGACCTGGGCACCTTTCACAGTCACTTTGCACAAGTGCTAACGCATGCACCTGCTTTGGGGGCATCGCACACTGGCTTTGCACTAGTGCATGAGAGAGGAGGGCATTGTGATTTGGGAGCGTTTCACGCTCACTTTTCACTAGTGCAGATGATAGCACAAGGGAGCAGGGTGAATTCTGGATTGGGAGCATTGCACACTTGCTTTGCACCAGTGCTAATGCTTGCACCTGATCTGGGAGCAATGCACACACACTTTACACAAGTGTGGACGCTTGCACAGACCAACAATGCTACCCCACCCTGCCCAAACGAAGCCTTTCCCTCCCACTTGCTGATCCTCTGTCCACAGCGACACCACGAGACCACCAACATCTCCCCCCGACACGCTGTGCCCTGTGGGGCAGGGACCATCCCAGCAGGGTCCCTCCCCATATAACCCGCCCCATATAATTCAGAGCAGTGTCTGGGCTGCTCTACCATAGGCTCTGTGCCCCCAATAAACTGGAGGGATGGGGGGGGCCCAGAGTCATGGGGATTGGAGGATTCGGGGGGCTCAGAGTCACAGGGATTTGGGGGGCTCAGAATCACAGGGATCAGGGGGATTGAGGGGCTCAGAGTCATGGGGATCAGGGGAATTGGGGGGTTAAGAGTCATAGATCTGGGGGATTGGGGGCTCAGAGTCACGGGGATCGGGGGAATTGGGGGAATTGAGTCATAGATCTGGGGGATCGGGGGCTCAGAGTCACGGGGATCGGGGGAATTGGGGGGTTGAGAGTCATAGATCTGGGGGATTGGGGGCTCAGAGTCACAGGTATCGGGGGAATTGGGGTGAATTGGGGGGCTCAGAGTCATGGGGATGAGGGGAATTAGGGGGGCTGAGAGTCACAGATCTGAGGGATTGGGGGGCTCAGAGTCACGGGGATCGGGGAATTGGGGAGTTGAGAGTCACAGATCTGGGGGATCGGGGGCTCAGAGTCACGGGGACCGGGGGAATTGGGGGGCTGAGAGTCATAGATCTGGGGGATTGGAGGCTCAGAGTCATGGGGATCGGGGGAATTGGCGGTTCCCGGGGAGGTTGGCGGTTCTCGGGGGGGGTTCTGCTGGACGGTTTTGGGGTCCCGGGAGGAAGGTGGGATTTTACCTCATCCTCTCCGGCCTCATGCAACTCTTCAGCTGCCGCCCGGCGCCATCCTGGCCGGCGGTACTGGGGGGCGCCCGGGGGGGCGCCCGGCCCTTCATCACCACGCTGTAGTTCTTGCCCTGGTTATTGGCCCAGTAGACGCCCTCGTCGGTCTGGTACCGGATCACGAAATCCAGCCGGGCTTCATCCCCCTCCTCCTCTTCCTCGCCCTGCTCCTCCTGCTGGCCGGGGCCGAAGGGCAGGCTGAAGGTGAAGCGGTCGCTCAGCCCCCCGTCGGGCGAGCCCCCCGGCACGTAGCGGGCGGGGTGGTCGCGGTAGGTGCGCCAGCGGTCCCGGCTGGCCCGCATGTGGACGGCTTTGCGATAGGCCACGTTCAGCACCCGCACGGTGCCCCGCAGCAGCCACGGCTCGCCCGGCCCCGGCGCCAGCACCTCCTCCAGCTCCACCATGGTCCGGCGCAGCCGCACCAGCCGCTCCGGCTCGCCCTGCCCCGCCGGGGGCAGCACGAAGGCGGGCAGGAGGTAGGGGGCG